AAAGCAACTAGTGTTAATGAGGAATTACCACTAAAACTGCGATTAAGGGGGATGGTGCAGCCCGAGCCCAAAGATTAAGTGAAACCAGTACAGTGGCTGTGGTGAATGAATGACGGTCTGGGACTAACTGTGCATTTATCATCGGTGCTGGTGAAATGTGTGGATAGGCCCCATGCATGCATGGCGCTGGTGGTGATGTGGGTGGGTGCTTGAGGTATCACTCTAAGACGTAACCACTTGATAAAAACAATAAAAGAATGATTGAGTAAAACAAATTATTCTCTCCATCTACTTGCAGACATGGATGAGAGGAGGCTCGTGGTACTGACAATGCTAGTTGTGGTAGCTAATACCTGGGAACACAGTGAAGACTAGCAAAGTAATTATAACTAGATCAAAGTGGTTGATAACTTTGTTGATAGACCTGCAGCCGTATGAGAAGTTACTAGGACAGTTGAAGACTGAAGTGGACAAACTAGATACACCCAGGACACGCCGGAGAATATTTACAAACTCCGGAATACCACCATATATTATACCCCTTAGCTCAGTAATCCCTAATACTTGAGAGACAATGGAAGTATATGAGTTACTATTTGAAAGGAATAAAGTTGTTACGGACCAGGCAAAAGAGAACAGTATTACCTATAATGGGAAAGGCATTAAGCGTGTTGTTTGGTACAGTCTCCGAAGGCAAAGTGAGAGTAATTAAGAGGAAATTAAAGGTGGTAGAACAGAGACAACAAGCAATGACTCAGTTGATTAGAGAGAGCGTATCTATACTCAATGTTACTAGGCTGGAATTGGCTAAGAATAGAGGGAGTATTAATTGGCTGATTTCTCACCTACAGGTTTTTAGAAAAGAAGAGATAAATGTAACCACGTCTGTAACAACCGAATTACAGAAATTAGCAGGGTTTTTGCAAAAGTATTTTCAATTATTAGCTATAATGAGTAAGGTATGTCAAACAAGTCGCTCTTTAATGGTGTTGTTAGAGCATGTGAGAGCACAATTAGACATGCTGTCGCTGGGACACCTGTCTCCGAGTATAATAGCCCCAGAACGATTAAGGGAAGTACTACTGGAGATACAAGCCAAACTACCCCATCATCTTAGATTACCTGTAGCCCCCACCCTGCAGTTATGGAGGTACTATAGTGCCTTGGGATGTACTACCTTGTTAGAAGATGATAAATTGCTTGTGCTAGTGTCGGTTCCATTACTGGACAGAGCTAGTACCTTTGAAATTTATCAGGTGATGAATCTTCCCTTTCCCTATCCAAAACTAAGGCCAAAGATAGGAGCAGTGGCTAGGTACAAGGTAGAGACAGAATTTGTTGCCCTAAACCTAGCCAGGACAGAGTTTATGCTATTAACAACGTGAGAAGCAGAAAAATGCAAGAATGATGCCTTACGTGACAGGTAGTCATAATCTGTGTGTACTAGATTTATTTAAGAAAAATAAGAAGGGAATTAGAGATCATTGTTAGGTAGAGGTGTTGGCTAGTGTAATGTTACCGAAAGCAACCAGTGTCTCTGCCTGAATTTGGGCGGTGGCCACACAAGAAGAGATTGAATTATCTAAGGTGTGTGAAGGGAAGCCCACCACATTGGTAAGAGTTATTCCCCCTTTGTTTTTTGTAGAGCTACCCATTGGTTGTGGAGCTCATGGTCCATCTATCTCTTGAAGAGAATGAGGCTTTGTTAGAGCTAGTATGAACGAATACCAGTGGATGGACGGGATTGTGGGAACCCACTGCAAGAGAGATTCCTAAGATGTTGCTAGAAAAGATGCCAGCATTGTTAAAGCCAATCAATAAGATTGATCTTGGATGGTTAAATCAAAGTTAGATAAGATAGGTACACCGAATTTGGGCGGAGAGAGAATTTGGTTGCTATAATAACCTGGCCGACCGTTGTGGGAATTATACTAATGATAATTGTGGCCTTGCTGGTTGAAGAGGCGTGCGGTGTTGTTGACCAGGCAGAATAAACTGGCTCGGGAGTGCATGAGTGAAGGAGGGATTCCAGTTAGTGCACTTTACCAAGGTAAGTCCGACCTGAGTGCATTGGGACCCCTAACTGATATTGAAGAAGAGTCCATGATTGTCGTGGAAGGACCTGAACTAACAAAAGATTTGACAAAGCCTGTTGTGAAGGCGAGACAAAATCGGAGGGACAGATTTACGAAAAAAATCAAATTTTTTTTTATTTTTAGTAATGAGACTGAAATAAAAAAAAAAAAGGAAAGAACTCTCAAACTAGTGAACTATGTGAAAAGGTTCTATTGCACGAGATCACCTAAACAGTGAACTTTAACTGGAAGTTGCATGTACATATGTATCACAAGGACAATGAAAATGTAAATGGGCATAATGAGCCCTAAGAAGAACTGAGGACTCTACCTTTGCATGCTGGAAGAGACGTATGTTTAAGTAGACCCTAGTAAGAAGCATGTTGGACTGGGTTTTCTCATATTTTGTTGATATGAAAGCTCGTGTGTCATTTACTAGTAAATGACAGATGGCTATGGGAGGAAATGTGACAGAGAAAGAGAGAGAGAGTCTGGGAAACACTCACATGTATATATTTTTTTTTAATCAAATTGGAGAAGATTTGAATAGCGAAATTAGATCAGAGCATTTTTTTTTTTTTTTTTTTTACTGATGGGGAAATCTGATCTAGGGCAGAAGTTGTACCCATTGAATCTGGATCATCAGGAGACAATGGAAATTTAAATTTAAATCTATGGATGCTCAGGGGACCTATGGCTACTCCCTTAAGTTCGGTTAACCTCAACCCCCAGAGTAAGATACCAGAGGCTGAAGGGCCGGGGCAAAAGTGTTAGAAATTATGCTCGTCAGTTGAAAGAAGGAGAAAACAAATGATGGTGTTTACTTGTATGTAAACACGTGGAAGGACATCACTTGACGAAATGAAAGCCTTCTTAGCTATTTTGCTTCTTATTGCACTCCAGAACTCCACAAGGAGTAATTAAAGTTCAAGCATGTTAAATTGTTAATGTATTTGTTTTTTTTTATTTTTTGTTTTTATTTTATGTTTCAATTATTTTGTTTTCAACATCAAAACATCCATGCAAAACATAATGCATTACATCAAAATATTACTCATCCATTCTTTTATTAGTATACAAAAAATAAAACCTATATACAAAATACAAAGAAAGTTATAACATTTTTAAAATAAGTAGGTGCTCATGTTTTACACCCTCAAAAAAATGCAGTGGCAAGGGGAACAATTCTAGAAAGAATTTAGTGAGGTAAAGGTTAATAATTAAATATATGTTATAAAGTTTCTATAACACTTGTAGATGCTGGTTAGTAAGACTAAGGAAAATCCTTGAAACAAAAGGTTGAAGAAGGATTTAATTACATGGGAACATGGATCGAAAATACAGTAGTTCAGTGCAATATGTGCTGCGCCTCTGCAATTCACTTGTCACTGTTTCATGAGCAGATGTTCTACTCGTAATGGATGGACACGACCATGTTTCAATAATAGGTGTACAGAAGGATAGTCTTTCTACATGAAAATCAACTATCAAGACTTTTTAGAATTATCAGATATTATAGTAATCATATAGTTTACAACTATTAGGTACCTTATGTATTACAATAGTGTAAGCTATTTTAACCAAGAAAAACTGTATAATTGAACAAATAAAAGCAGCAAATTTATTATTGTGATATTTCTGTCATAGAAATTTCAAGAGATATGTCTGAAACATAGTTCTTGGTGTACTAAACAGCCTCTGTAACCGTTGTTTTAATCTCATCCATATATTCTGTTGTAGTAAAGAAGACTGTCAACTGATAGTAGCAACTGCAATAGATTTCTTCTGTTTCTTGGCCGCAACACTTGTAGCCAAATCGCAGTTCAAACGATAGTCCGACGTAACAGTCCAACATACAATGTAGAAACGACAAAATGGGGTCACACATCCAACCTTCACTTCTCACCAACAACGTGTGTTCGTTCCACCAAGATCAAAAAAATCATCTCCTTTTATAAGCAAAAAACAACGACTTCTGTTCACCGAGAGAATTTTCTGATGGGTCACGCCATTCAGGGGAGGGAAGAACATTAGCATAGCTTCTAGCCATTGATGTAGATTTTTGCTGACTACTTTTTGGTAATTTTTCTTCAGTAGATCGCATACAAAACACAAACTTTTTTTGGGGGGTAACTGACTACAGTTTACAGCATGTTTCTCAGAATCTTTGACAATGATAAAGTTAGCTTCATGAATATCAGTATACATTCCAGCTTAATCTGTTCAATTTGATTGTATGCTGCCATCCATTTATATGTGCACCTAGTAGTTTATCATTTTCTTCTCATTGTTTGGTATTTCTTAAGTTCTGTTTTGTACAACAATGTAATAATACATTTATGTTTGATCAAAATTTCTGTTTCATCAATTTCTACCACCATAGGCTAACCTGCTGCATCACAATTGAACCATTTCCTTTATGATTGTGTAACTTTGCACAAATATCCTGAAAGAAATAATCAATGACATTCTAACAGAAATTGGAAATTTACACTGTAAAATTATAACATTACAAACCTTACAAATGAAGTGTATAAATTAGAAGTAAATTCAGACAATATATTTCAATGAGCATGATGCTTAGCAAAAAATAAGCAAACACACAAACAATAAAAAAGAAAAGAGCTATGTTTGACTTGTGAATCAGCAGTTCTGCCCCTTCAAATGCAAAAATATATAGGGTACAGCAGAAATACCTTCCACATAATGGTGAGACATTATCTAGATGAAGACACCATTACCACTTATCAATGTGTGGGAGGTATTTCAGCTACACCCTGTATATTCATAATTCTTATTTATAAAATTAAACTATTCACTGGAAAAAACAAAATTAACATAAAAGGAGAGGTAGAAAATAATCATGCACAGAAAATAACTCATTTTAGCTATGCACAGTTTCTATTCTCAAAATGGTGAGCTCACCTTTTAGTGACTTAGGGTCTGGTTTCTTCAAATCTTCTGCATCTAAAAGATCATCAGAATCAATCAAATCAATATCATCATCATTCAAGTCAGCAGCTGACAATGACCATACTTGGGATGCTTCTTTGAGCACTTGGTGAAATGAGAGAGAGAGAGAGAGAAAAGACAAGAAAGTTATTTGTAAATATCTCCAGAAAGAAAGGAGTGACAACTCATAACAGACTAATTAAACATCCTAGATTATCCTATAGTATTTGATATAGATATTTCATGACCAGAAAAAAACAAAAAAAACAAAAAACAAAATGAATTTAAGATAAGCATTGGGTTAAAAACACCCCTTATTTATATATATATATATATATATATATATATATATATATATATATATATAATTATTTATTTAAAAATATGATTCCAAATTGCGACATAAGAAGTCCCATGTTTCAAAAACAAGGCCGAAAACTTCAATATAATTATTTAAATTGAGTTAAAAATAAGCTCTGTTCCATCTTCAAAGCGAATTTTTTTTTGGAATAACGTGTTTCTGAAATTTACGTGTTAAAAAATTGAAATCAAAATTTCCATGGTAACAGCTAGGGCGAATTGTTTAAGTTGGGTAGGCGGGTGTTGGGTGTTAATAATAAGTATCAGTATAGAGTTACTTTCGTAAATGTCAAGTCAGGGAAAGGTGGGGGTGTCTAAATTTGAAACGGAAGATGTATTAACCCTCGTCTAGTTTGCATGTCTATGGAGATTTATTTATTTTTATTTTATTTTTTATGAAAGGATTTTGCATATAAAAAACTGTCGTAACGTTTGTTTTTGACGACTTCATAAAGGGTTATCTTTTTAGGGTATTTAAACTATTTATTTGGGCTATGGATTATGAAGGGTGTTATATTGTATGCATGTTTTTAGTTAATTATTCAAACCATGAATCTGATGAGTGGGCTATGGATTAAACAAGTTATTATATTGTATGCTAGTTTTTAGCTAATAATTCAAACCAAAAATCTGATGATGCCTACAAAAAACCGTTAACTCGTGTCTATTGTTTAATAGATTATTATTATTTAGAAGCTTAATCATGTGCAATTTCTCATGAAGATGGAACAGAGCTTATTTTAACTCAATTTAATTTAAATAATTATATTGAAGTTTTCGGCTCTTGTTTTGAAACATGGGACTTCTTATGTCGCGATTTGGAATCATATTTTTAAATAAATAATTATATTTATGCTCTACTTTTGTATCGAGCACTATTTTTTAAAAATAATAACTAAAATACTAAGGGACTTTGGATTATTTACCTAACCAGTTCCTTCCTATTTTCTATATATTTTCACACACACACACATATATATATATGTATGTATGTATGTAATTTTACAATGCTGACAAAAACAAAATGAAAAGCATTAAGAAATACATGTAGTAAAATAACAAAAGAGGATTGTGGATGATAATTATAATGAAAATTCTGAGATGTAGTCTTCCTCTTCTTTCTCCATGAGTTGTTTGTATAATCGTATTAATTCTTCTATGCTTAATCTTTAGACATAATTACCATAGACATAAATAAGTTATCATATTATAATTCTGCTTGTTCCTTTCTTAGTGAGTTAATCCGTCTGTTAAAATTCATATTATTATTTAAGTTCATCTTAGATTGTGTGTGTGTGATGATATTACCAACATATAGTCTGCTGAAAATGTTGCAAATAAATATAATTATAATTCTTGTGACCTAATATAATAATTCCAATACATGTGTTTGTTCAGTCTTTTATTTTCTTATGTAAATTAAACTGCAGTATAAGACAACATAATCACAGTATAGTTTTAATGTTAAGTCCAAACTACCGAACAGAAACCATTTTTAATATTTAATCAATTAGACCCTTGCAAATCTATCTGGGCTGATGGTAAGGGAGGAAAGTAATTGCTTTTATCCAGTTGGAAGAGTCTTTCAGCTGACCTTTCCAGACTGGGGACCATTTCCTTCCTCTAAAAGGCTTTCAGTGAGAAAGAGGCCAGCGAACTGTTCCTTTTTTGCAATGCATCAGCAGAGGTATATGGGTTCACTGCATATATGGTGCAGAATCGCCAGTCTTACCTGGTTTTTGCAAAACTGAATGCCTTAGTCCTCCAGGGAGAGTAATTCTCAATGGTCTTGCCCTTGGAGAAATTTTCTTCCTTTGCAAAGCTCTTGTGTTTAACTATGTTAGTGCTAAAGTTTATCAATAGGTTGCGGCGGTTGAAGATTGACAGAGAGAAATTGGCAGTGATTCTTCTGATGAAGATAATGAAACAACAAACATATCCTGAGAAATTGGCATTCTTAGCAGCAGGAACGTCCCTAGGTTGGTAGGCGGGATGTTGATCTGTACATTGATGAGGAGGGCCTAATTAGGTTGTATGGCAGAAATGGTAATTTCCTTCATTTTAATATGGGAGTTAAACACCCTATTCTGTTGGCAAAGCATCACCTGATAACCAGACTCCTCATAATGGATACACATGTCAGGTGCCAGCACTTGGGAGTTGGGTCCATGTTGACTGAGGTGAGACGAAGTGGTTACTGGGTACCCAAGGGAAGACAGGCTGTAAAGACAGTCTTGGGTACCTGTGCATTGTGCAGGAGGTACAATGTCAAACATGTCCTGCCTCCAAATGTGGCCAATTTACCCACTTCGTGTGTGCAGCTGGAAGTTCCCTCCAAACATACGTGTATGGTGTTCCTGGTGACATCTACAGTGATAATGCAAAGACCTTCCTGGGTGGTGGTTGGCTGTTCAGGAAGTTATTATTGTGCCACGATTTCCAGTAGATGTTTGGCTCTTGCCAAATCAAGTTCCTTCCTATTCTACTGTTCTCTCCCTGGTTAGTTGGTTTGGTTGTTTTATGCCATATCAACCTCACAGGGTCATTTAATGCCAACAAAATTTTTGAAATTGATTCATAGCGATAGTCTGGTAAAAAAGATGTGTATGTATACATATATATTTGAACCATTTTTCAATTACTCATATTTTTGAGTACAATCCAACTTCTTTTAGGAAATTTACAATCTAGGATGGTTTTATTTTCATAAAAAAATTTTTTTTTTTTAAATTACTCACTTTGTTCGCACTATTTTGTATTCTGAGTTCTATTCTCCAATTTATTTTTTCAAAGAATGTATAGCTGTTTGTATTACTGATTTTTTTTTTAAAAAGTATTGCTGATAATTTTTCCTTCAAAAATTATTGCTGGGAATAATTTTTTTTTAATACAAAGTATTTCTGAGATTAAAACCTATTTTTACACTTTCATAATTTTTTGACCCCAAAATTTTTTGGGTTAACTATATGTCCATAGCTAGGACCTTAACAGGTGCTACCACCCTGGGTCAGAGTGGACCTGGGAATGCTCCTCAAAACTTCCTGATCAGAGGCCTTGCTGTCGGACATAGTTTATTATCTTACCCAGGACACATTAATTTTCTGTAAAAATTGACCATTCTAGCAAATCATGTTTTTGAATCATTGGGAGGAGGAAAATTGTTCAGGTCCTGAAGCTTATTAGCTTTAGGCTTAATTCCTTCCTTTGAAATATTAAAACCCAAGAAGTCAAGTTCTATAGCATTGAAAATACATTTTGAAATTGAAATTTTAAAATTGTACTAACTTAGCTTCTGAAATACTTGATCCAGATGTTCAGGATGAGAATCCTTGTCATTGGAGTATATCAAAATATCATTTATATATACAAATGTACACTCCATGTCCTGGGAGATGTCATCCATCATCCTTTGAAAGTCATGTAGTGATATTCAAGTAAACCGTGTTCGTCAAGATAGCAGTTTTGCATACATCATCAAGATGTACTGGTATCTGGTGGTATGCTGAGAACAGATCAATATTTGAAAATATATTTTTTCCCATGCAATTTCATTGCTAGTGAGTTGATATTGGGTAGTGGTCTGGATTCGTAATTCTATTCAACTGTCTTTAGTCGCACACTGGCCTGTATGTGCCATCTGATTTTGGCACCATGTGCAGTGCTGAACTCCACTCTGATTTGGAAGGGGAAATTATGCCACCTTGCTGAAGCTTTTTAAATTCTTCCTTGGCTATATCAGACTTCTGCTTCAACAGCTGTCACACTTCCGTAAATACAGGAGGATTGCTCCCCGTTTCAATTCTGTGAGCCATTTTTGATTTTTTTGCATTAAGATCCCGATATCAGATTAGGGTAACTTCCCATAATTTTTTTTAAGGCTCCCTTTGCATTTTCATCATCATGGATTGAAACATCTAAGACACAAGTTGATAGCTTGGCATGACTTTGCCTATTGGCAATAGTTCTGATCATTATTATTACAATCCACTATTAGTCTATAGTGACTTAGAAAGTCATATCCCAAAAGCAGTTGTGTAGTGTTTTTAATGTCACTTCTTGGATGCATCTTGCAATTCCTGCACCTGTTGTTGGTTATGTCTGTAGATTCATCTGGTGTTTGTTGTTAGTTATGTCTGTTTCATATATGAGTACAGTAACAAATAGAAATTCATTTACTTTTATTTTTAGAGCTGCATGTAGTATTTGCCATACTAGACAGCAGTTCCTTGGCTGTATATTTTAAATTGTACACTAATTCTTTTTGCTGTAGAGGTAAAAACATCTGGGATGTAGCCTTTGTGATCTGATGCTCACCTTGTACATGTTGCCCTGGATGTCTCTGGCTAGTACTGTCAGGTTGGGAGATGTCATTTCCTTGATCGTTTCCAGATTCATGAAACAAATTTCTAAATTTTGTAGTTATTACTGTCTTTTTTTGACAAGCTAAAAAATTGCATAATTTCACAAAATTCTCCCAAAATGGATACAGATATGAGAAAAGGTATACATATAAAAGGAAAAGAACTGTTTTTCCTCATTCCAAAATTAGTAAAGTTTCAATGTTTCAGGCATGTACCTCTAAGGGATAATTCTTTTATGGCAAGATAAGGATGTGCTTCAAATTGCGCTTCTGAAGTCTTATTTATGTACTACAGAAAAAAAATTTAGCTTCATTTATGAATCATAGCAAGAAGATGCAAGGTATTAACTGTTGAAATGTAACTTATGATCAGTGAAATTGCCCTTCTGTGTCATGTTTTAACTATTTTGTTTTTGAGAACACAATTTTTCCAAATGTATTAGGCTGGTCTGATCTAATTATTGATTTTATTAGTAGTATATTTATTTTACTTCAAGACTACATATATGACATTACATTTATAATGATTTTTAACTAGTCTGAACCAGTATCTTTAGTTATACACTGTTGTAATTGGCATTTGGTTCAATAGCATAGGAAATGGAAAACAGATGAAATTTCAATGGTCATAGCATCATGCAAATTGAGCTATCAAAATAAATTTGAAACTATTTTTTACAAAATATTTAAAAAAAAATAATACCTAAGCATTAATTACTATTAATATCTATCATCATAGTTAATTTGACAAATGATTCATATTTAGTAATAGAAAGAATATATTACATTTTAAATTAAACGTGGATGCATCATTGCATTGAGGTCCTAGTTTACTTAGTATCAACAAACAGCAAATTTCTTTTACTATCTCAAAACTGTTATGGGTTGGTTGTGTGCAATGTATCATTTTTCATGGGAACATTGAGGTGCATCCATAGGACACTTATGAATTCAATTTGCCAAATATAAAGGATCAGCAATATAAATTAACTGTACTTGAAAAATGGTTCAGATGAACAAGTTATCAATAATATTCTATAATTTTTTTTATGTAAGTCATGATTTCAGAGTAATGTTTATAAAAAATGTCATGTCTCCAAAACTTCATTCTTTATTCATACATGCAAGCAAAACAAAGGGAAATGACAAAAGAAATAAAAGAGGTTGGCATACTTACTTTGTTTTGGTTTTATTTTTTGTACAAGTTTTATTTTACTAGTGGAACCAATGTCATAATTAGGCTTGGAAGCTGATATATGAATGAGGGTCTTAATAGCATTTCCACCAAAGTAAGATTTCATAGCTTCTGATTTTCTATCATCAAGATGAATTTCAGATATCTAGAACAAAGGAAAGAAAACTATAAAGAGAGACAATATTGATAAAGAAATATAAAACCTTATTTTAAACACATAACAAATAACCTAATTTAAATTAAAATTGTTGAATAATATATTCTTTATAGTGTTCCAAACTCTTTTTACAACTAATGTAGAGTAAAATCTTATTACAAATATTTTAAATTTGATTGTAATCTGTTGAAATTCTGTTATTTTGTGATCCTTAATTGACTGATTTTAAAAGGTGTTCATAAAGTAAAAATAACAAAACAAGCCAATCCTAAAAATATTTATTATATAGTTAGAAAAAATAAAATACTGAATCATTTATGTAGGTCATTTGAGGCATTTTGATAAAGAAAACATTTTCTGAATTCAATGTGATATGTGTAAATACAACACTATTATTACATTATTAAAAGTAACTAAACCACATCCAGCAACAAATAATTTAGACATTTTAAATTTTTTTCTCTTAAGATATTAAGTTACTTTTAAATTATCAAAAATAACTTTTATATTTTAAAAAGACATTGACAATTTAAGTCATGTCATTGGAGGAAAATTTAGTTTTAATTCAAGTAATGTAGACTTATGTGGAATTATTTTAAATTTATTGACATTGAAGTAAATATATTCACTTATTTTCTTTTTACTTAACATTACAATTTTTTTTAGAAATAATAACAAAAAACAAACTTTATAGAAAAATATTCAACTGTAAAGAATTTTTGTTGCATAAACTTAATCTTATATTTTTCTTTAATCTTTGTTCAGAATGACAGATTTTGATGATAAAATTATATTTTTTCAAGTAAGATTTGTGCTTTTGTTTTTAGGTACCTTAATTTTTGCTAGTGTGTAATTTTTACAAAATAAATTAAGTTAATATTTAACTAAAATATCATTAAAAATATATCACAAAGATTTAATAAGTACAGAAGACAAAATTAACAATTTTTATAACAAATATTAATTCATATTTTATTCTTTAAATAAATCAATTATTAATTAAAATATATTCTCCAAAGTAGTAGGCCAGTGTAAAAATAAAACTTTACAAACAATATAAATAAAACAAACTGCAATAAAACAGTTTTTTAATTTAAAATATTATTAAATTAGAAAAAAAAAAGAAATAAAAAGAAATAAAAAGAAAATTTTAAAAAAATCAATTCACTCTCTCTTTTATTTTTCTTCACACTTAAGTAAAAAAAAAAAAAAAAAAACAAAAAGAAAAATTAAAAAACACTATGAGAAAAATGTAATCATGTTTTTTTGTGGAACATCTCACTAAGATAAAATTAAAGATTACTATTTTTTTTTTTTTTTTTCAAAGGTATGTTTGAATTTATCTTTACTTTTTACCTAATTAAATTTTTTATAAAAATTCAATGAAGTAGGGTCCATATTACAAGTAAAATAAATCAAAATTATTTAGGAATGTAAATAAAACAAAAAATAGATAGCCAGTGGGAAAATTTTTCCCATATTATGTTATCTCATTTTGATAATACATTTGAAGATTTTCTAATGTGTAATTTAGACAACTAAAACCTTAAAATCTTTTGTCAAATAGCCCTGAAAGATGTTAAATTAAATTTCCATTTTTAAATACTTTAGGAGCCTTCCAGGTTTCTACAGATACAAAAATTTTGCAGCTTTCCAGGTGTGAGAATTTAGAATCTTCCAAATTTCGGATATAGGTACTTTTGTACAACATTGATTAATCCTGTAAATTTTACGAAATAAATTGTGCTAATTGCAATCTTAAAATGGTCAGAAAATGGTGCCATGGTAATCATAATGAACAAAACAAAGTTCAGATATTTCTTTCTCCAAAGATCAGGATGAACAAGAATATTGGTTAAAGGCAATACTAAGAGACAGCACCCCCATGACCATCCAAAGACTGTGAAAAGCATTTTCAATTTAGTTATGCAACTGCAAAAAGAGCCATCAACAGTGTTCAATTTTTTTATTGTCTATTATTAAGTCCTTCACAAAAAACCTACTGCTTCTGTGTGAATAGTGCAAATGACAAGCTAACATAGTTTCTAGTAAAAGACGGAATTGTAAATGCTGACCATTATGATTGTGTATCAGCACTGACATGCTATAATTAAAAAAAAAAAAAAAAAAAAAGTTTATTCAGTATGTTGATTTTTTAATTCAAATTTTTCAAACATTGAAGTTAGAATGACATCTTGCTTTTCTAATTATTTTGCTTTTGAAAAACAGAGTAACTATTTTTTTAAACAGGTTACTGTTTGATGAAATAATACATTACCATAAAATGTTAATAAATGATCTAAAGAAAAAAATTTCAAAGAACATATTGAAATTATGTCACCTAAAATTATGAATCAGAATTTCTCTGTGCATTTGAATATTTGTAATATCTAGGTCTCTGAATAATGAACTCCAAGATTATTACAAGCTACCCAACCAAAAAACATATCTTTTACATTGAATGTATATAAATTAGATAATTTGGATTTTCTTTTGAGATATATTCAGTAAACTTGTGGAAAATGTCAAAATGCATCATTTTAGATGTTGAAGTTTACATCAAATTAAATTTAGGATACCAAAGAGAAAACATACTTGGTTCAGCTGAAAATCCTGAGAAATTAGTAGAAACAGATCTGGATAAAATGTTTATAAACCAACATGGGACAAGTATTGTTAATTTACTCAATCATTTAAATGAGTATGCAATTGGAGTTATATGCAACAATAATCATATAAATCAAGCTTTTTTCAATAAATTTGATACTGATGAAAAGAAACCTTGGATAAGTAAAAATATACTTATATTTTGACTAAGTCCATATGCTTAAAAGTATTTATAATAATAAGTGAATAACTAGAGCTTGTTTAGAATTACTGTTTTATTCTGAAGATAAGGAAATAACAGTATGGCATGGCCATCAATGGACAAATCTCAACCCCTCTAGTCATGCCATGTGAAACTGATGTAATCAGCTTTTAGCCGATTCTTGCATCTGATTGTCTGATTCTTCAGTAGTATAAACTCATCCATGCTCTATATAAATAAACCCCTGTTTTTTTCCCTAGAGTAGATAGTCTTTGGTGAAATTACTCTGTACATTGTTCAAGTGCTTTTTGATTTCTTAGGTATGTGAAAAGATTGGTCTCTGGGAAACTCATGATATATCAACTAGTGATTAAGGAACTCATGTTCGATAGGTCAGACATTTTTGAATAAAAAATATTTTCACATTTCTTTAAGAAATGTTAAATAAATAAAGCATTCTAGTTCATGCACATATTTTTATAATCTTGAAAATATAAAATTAATCTTGTAAATAATCTAACTAAATAGTGTATAACATTACTATTATTTTGCAAAAATAGCTTTTTAAAAGAAACAACATTACTGAGGACATATACAGTAATACTGGTATTAATATATATTACAATGAATCGTTCATACAAAAAGCAGATAAGTAAAGTTAATGATATAAAATGGCAAAAACTCTTCACAAACAAAATTTTTAAAGTTGCATTAATCTACAAACTACTTTATGAATGTTATGATCCTGTAACAAATGAATGAGTGTACATTTGACGAAGCAAACGTCATGGTGGTGGACACAAAAATGGCAGTGCATGTGTGCAACCAGACTGGGAGCGAGGCTCATATTCATTTGCATAAGTGTATGCCTCACCGGCATAAAAGCTAAGAGTTTGCGAGGGTAAAGTGAAGTGGTCCAGTTGTGCAAAAGTCACACGTGTTGTTTGTTTCAGTGTCGGCTGCAGCGTAAGATTGAGCAGAAGAAGAAGACGGAGAAGACAAAGACTTCAGTAATTTCATTACAGACTGATTACAAGCTATTTTGGCATTATGACTGATGGAAAGTTCAATCTAAAATTAGAATACAACGGAACATTTTCGATTGTTGATTGGCTAGAAAGAGCAGACCTGATTTTCAAACTTTTTGGGAGTTGACCGGTACAAGTAATCCCTTTGCAATTGGCCGAGGGGCCTTTCAATGTCTACCAGGTTGTCTCGGATGTGACAAGACCGATGTGACCGGGTGAAATTTGCACTTTTGAAGGGTTTTTTTATGTGACCCATGTGAAGCTGCATAAAAAGTTTGCAAGACGATTTTGTGCCCGGATGAATCGGGTAGATGAGTTCTACGCAGCATTGAAGAAACTTCCAACCTGTTCGGAGGAATGCCTGACTGAGCACTGAAGTATGCATTCATGGCTGGACTGCCTGGAAACACCCAGGAGTTGATCGGGTGTCTGCTGGATGTTGACCAATTCCCCACGGAGAGCATGCTCAATAGATGCAAGAGCTATCATGAACAGAAAAGGGTTGTGCTGCCATATATTACCAGCCACAGAAAAGATTTCACCAAATTTTCCACTGAGAGCTTGCTGCATTGCTTTAATTGTTCCGCCCCAACCATCTGACCTAAAAAAAAAAGTTTGAACGACCAGGGCAGCGCTGAAAAGCCCAACATCTGATGTTACAGGTGCCAGATATTTAAAAACATTCGTTGAAATATCGGGCAGGGGCTAGATGAGCGCCAATTGCCCAGAGTCTTGAGAACTAGGTAAGTCAGTGATGCCCGTGTGCATCAACAGAGTGATGCGAAAAATTGGTTGATTCAGGATGCACACAGTGTCTGTGAAGAGTTCGGTTTGTGGTCCAAGAATGGGACGTAGAAACGGATTTAATTAAGGACTGTTGACGGAAGGAGTTTGAGAAAGAAGAAATGGACTAAAGTGTCAATCTTTACATGGTGAATAAGAGCATTCCTGCATTGGTCAAATGCAGGTCATGGATGGAGATCTATTGGGTTTTATCACCTGTTTGGACTTGACGTTATATGCCTGTTGGGAGTGTTCATATAATGAGCATTCAGAGGCCAGTTTCCAAACAAAGTGTCCATTGTTGGTGCTGCTGTCCCAGTAAAATAAAAAAGACCTGACTTTGATGTGGAATTTGACCCCATTAGTAG